CACTGAAGTCAGTTCACTACACAACGCATCTAAAGATCATTTCATTGTTCCAGCCATAGGAAAGGTGACAGATGAGGCATCTATGCAACTCAAATCTTTGAGGTTTCGGCAGGAAAGATTCTTGGATGTATTTATATCATTTTATTTCAGAAACTCGTAGGGCCATCTAAACTGAACAAATGTAACCACGCAAGAAAACAGTAAGCTTAAGAACTGTTGACAAACATTAATCGACAATTGGAACCGGTTAAATGTAAGACGCTTCTTTCTAAAACCATTGCGTCTCTAAAGCACAGGTCCCTTTCGCCATTGCAGAAGCCTTTTTTTTTTTTTTTGTCATCTCACCACAAGGATAAAAAATGGGGAATATCCATTCCAAAACCCTGGGATATTCCAAAGAAAAAAAAATCAGCATCCACACGCAAAAACACCCTGAACCCTACCTTAAGAAAGGAGTGCAAAATAACACACAAACGGGCCCTAGGAATCACACTAATGGCTTTCGACCTGCATTGTATATTGTCCCAGCAACGGTTGCGTTAGACTATATGAATTGTTTGCATGGTGAACCTCAAAGATTTGGGAGGGCTTTTGGCTTTTTCATTGTAAGGGCAAAATCAAGAGAGGGATCTATAATAATAATAATGATGATGATGCAATCCCAAAACAACTGGAGCACCACTTGAACACCATTGGCATTGACAAATTCACCATTAGTCAATTGCAAAAGGCGGCCTTACTAGGAACTGCTTCCATCCTGTGACGATATCTGTAATACCATCAAACATCCACGTCTGCCTATCCCAGGTCCTTGCCAAATCCAGTCTGAACATCTGGCTGACTGTGCGATGATCCATAATAATAATAAAGTTGGAAGAGACCTTGTAGGTCATCTAGTCCAACCCCCTGCTCAGGCAGGAAACCCTACATCATTTCAGACAAATGGCTGTCCAGTCTCTTCTTGAAAACTTCCAGTGTTGGAGCATTCACCGCTTCTGGAGGCAGGTAGTTCCACTGGTGAATTGTTCTAACTGTCAGGAAGTTTCTCTTTAGTTCTAGTTTACTTTCATCCTTCTGATGTGTTTCCGGTATAATTAACATAGAGAAGGTCCAGCTTGTCCCAGCAATAGTTCCACCTTGACCAAAATTGCTTCTGTTGCTATTGTCCTAAATGCCAATCATGAAGTTGAACTCTTCTTCCTGTTCCTTGCTTGGCATCAGGAGATTAGGATTGTGTGTGAGTTTCATAATGATGGATGGCTGAATGGACCTGCTTGCTGGGCGAGGCTGGCCGTGATGTCAGCCTGCAGAAATTAATTGGGCATAACTTCAGATCAGCTTGGCATTGTTGCACATTAAATGCTGGCATTCAGTGCACGGGTTTTTTGGTTTTTTTTATTAACTCACTTAAAAATTAAAAGTAAAAAAAAATAACTCCAAAGTTAACTTTTTTTATTAGGATACCATGCTTTAGAAGAGTTGACGATAATAGCAGGGGGTTGGACTAGATGACCTCCAAGGTACCTTCCATCATCATCATCATCATCATCATCATCATCATTATTATTATTATTATTAATAATAATAATAATAATAATAATAATAGGATTGCCTCTGCCTATACTTGATGTGAAAAATTCCACGTTAGAAATTTCTAGTGTAATCAAGCCATTAGCATGAGCAATAGCAATAGCATTTATATACCGCTTTCTAGTGCTTTACAGCCCTCTCTAAGCGGTTTACAGAGTCAGTATATTTGCTCTCAACAATCTGGGTCCTCGTTTTACCAACCTCGGAAGGACGGAAGACTGAGTCAATAGCAGTAGCAATAGCGCTTAGATTTATATACCGCTTTACCGTGCTTTACAGCCCTCTCTAAGCAGTTTACAGAGTCAGCCTATTTGCCCCCAACAATCTGGGTCCTCGTTTTACCGACCCTGGAAGGATGGAAGGCTGAGTCAACCTTAAGCCGGTCAGGATCGAACTCCAGGCTGTGGACAGAGTTTTGCCTGCAATACTGCATTCTTAACACCCTGCACCACCACCGCGCTTTCCACATTAATGAAATATAGTGCAATAAAATTTATTAGTGGAGTCTCCTTGGTGCTCTCTGAACTAGTTTTCTTGCAGATGTTTCAGTACCAAGTGAGGTAATAATCAGCGCTATTTATTAAAACATACGAAGAACGGCTGCAGGACTTGGGTTTGGCTAGTCTAAAGAAAAGAAGAAATAGGGGAGACATGATAGCAGTGTTCCAGTATTTGAGGGTCTGCCACAAAAGAAGAGGGGGGTCACATTATTCTCCAAAGCACCAGAGGGCAGGACGAGAAACAATGGTTGGGAATTGACCAAAGAGAAAAGCAACCTGGAATTAAGGAGAAACTTCCTGATAGTGAGGACAATCAACCAGTGGAACAGCTGGCCACCAGAAATCGTGGGTGCTCCATCACTGGAGATTTTAAAGAAGAGGCTAGACTGTCACATGTCTGAGATGGTATAGGTTCTCCTGCTTGAGCAGGGGGCTGGACTAGAAGACCACCAAGGTCCCTTCCAGCTCTATTCTATTCTATTCTATTCTATTCTATTCTATTCTATTCTATTCTATTCTATTCTATTCTATTCCATATTTTCTGTTCTGTTCTGTTCTATTCCATTCCATTCTATTCTATTCTATTCTATTCTATTCTATTCTATTCTATTCTATTCTATTCCTTTTCTCTATTCTATTCTATTCTATTCTATTCTATTCTATTCTATTCCATATTTTCTGTTCTGTTCTGTTCTATTCCATTCCATTCCATTCCATTCTATTCTATTCTATTCTATTCTATTCTATTCTATTCTATTCTATTCTATTCTATTCTATTCCTTTTCTCTATTCTATTCTATTCTATTCTATTCTATTCTATTCTATTCTATTCTATTCTTTTCTATATTCTATTCTATTCTATTCTATTCTATTCTATTTACTAGACAATGTACATTATCGTCATACTGATGATTGCATAATATTGGACATTCTCATTCTAATAGCCATTAGAGGAATACTTTCTGCACAGGGTGGTTATTCTACTTCTATTTGGAGGTCTTTGTATTTTGTGATTTTCCCCCCCTCTCCCTCCCATGTATCTCAAGCTAACTTTGGATATCCCCGTGGCTTGTTGTGAATCTTGCTTTGTGCCAGGAGTGTCTTCTGCTAATGAGTAGAGATCAGGAGATTCAGGCCTGATGCTCGAAAGGTGACGGGAGAGATCATCCAAAGACTTAGCTGGCAGGGCAAACTTGAATGTCAGTCTTGGCAGTTTATCAACATGAGAACATTTCCTAGTTACGTGATAGGCATGACTTGGCTTGTGTAATTAGAGTCCTTACCTAGAGTACACCGGGAGTAATTGCAGAACAGGCTTCTTCTGCTATTTCGGTGTAAGCCTTCCCTTCCAATTGCAATCGTTCTGCTGAACGATCCAATGGATGGAGGCCATGATACAGCTAAGGGGTTTCTGCAGGGGTGGGATTCAAAGAGGTGAACAGCCGGTTCTCTTCGTGGATGCCAGTTCTGGAAGTCAATTCTGGGCTTGGGCAACACAAAATTAGCTACCGGTTCTGCTGAAGTGGTGCGAACTGGCTGAATCCCAGTCACTGCCTCCCTCCCTTCCATGACCTTCTGACCTCCCTCCCTCCTTCCTTCCTCCCTTCCTTCCTTTTTCTTCCTTCCTTCCTTCCTTCCTTCCTTTTTCTTCCTTCCTTCCTTCCTTCCTTCCTTCCTTCCTTCCTTCCTTCCTTCCTTCCTTCCTTCCTTTCTTTCTTTCTTTCTTTCTTTCTTTCTCTTCCTTCCTTCCTTTCTTTCTTTCTTTTTCTTTCTTTCTTTCTTTCTTTCCCTTTCCTCCCTCCCTCCCTTCAGTGGTGGGATTCAAAGAGGTGAACAGCCGGTTCTCTTCATGGATGCCACTTCCAGAAGTCCATTCTGGGCCTGGGCAACACAAAATTAGCTACTGGTTCGAATCCCAGTCACTGCCTCCCTCCCTTCCATGACCTTCTGATCTCCCTCCCTCCTGTCTTCCTTCCTTGACCTTCCAACTTCCTTCCTTCTTTCCTTCCTTTCTCTCTTTCCTTTCTCTCTTTCCTTCCTTCCTTCCTTCCTTCCTTCCTTCCTTCCTTTCTTTCTTTCTTTCTTTCTTTCTTTCTTTCTTTCTTTCTTTCTTTCTTTCTTTCTTTCTTTCTTTCTTTCTTTCTTTCTTTCTTTCTTTCTTTCTTTCCCTTTCCTCCCTCCCTCCCTCCAGTGGTGGGATTCAAATATGTGA